GCCAACTTAGTGGCCCTTCTGGACTCAGGGTGCACCAGATGCTACCGCCCTGGTTGAGAAGCTGGGAGTGAGACTTAGACCAATCACAGTGCTGGTGGCATTTTGCAAGCTGGACAGATCTGTAGCGGGGTGTGTTTCTAGTGAAGTTCATCACTGAGCTGATAGAAATACAGATGGAGGCGCACACCGAGACTCAGTATCATCGTAGCGCTGGGTATATGGAAAGACCCCTGGTGCTAGGATTAGCAGGGCTACGGAAATGGCATCCTTATGTGAATTGGAGGAGGCGGCTTCTTAAAATTCAGAAGACTAAAAACATTCTCATTTTCGACAGTTTGTAAGATCTTTTCTCTTCTTAGTTTGTATCATATACGCACATCTTATCCATATCTATATTTAGATTACACTCATATAAGTTTATCCCATTCAGAGCAAAAGAAGGCTGACCCTCAAATTCCATAGGAGTACTGGGACTGGCGGTAGGGTTCAGACGAGCTCCCACCCCACTAGCCAACTGACTGCTCCATAGCATCCTGCTAGGTGCTAAACTGCCTAAACCCAAACTTTATTCAATGACTAAGGGTGGAGGTTGTGGGTTGGTTTCTGAACGTTTTGTTTTACCAGGCTAGGTAAGAGTTTAAGAGTTTAAGCAACCTCTACAATAACACCTAGGGAATTGGAGGACTTGCAGGCTTGGACAGACAAATATTTAAAAAAAGAAGGCTGAAGGTCATTACAACTTTTGGTTTAAAAATAAATTATTTTTTTGAGTTTGTAATTTAAATTTTCTAACCTGCCTCTAAATTCATGGAAACGCAGCATGATAGGCATGGAAGGGACCCTAGTCCAAGCTGCTTCTCAAGGCACGAGCTTTATACTATCCCACTGAAATGGTTGTCCAGCCTACTTGAAAACCTCCAGTGATGAAGTACCCACAAAACCCAGAGGGAAGTTATTGCTTTGATTAATTGCTTTCACTGACAATTTCTCTTTCCTTCTGAGTTGGACCTTATTTTAACAAGCTTCCCCCCCCCCCCGCATTCCTCTTGTCCTGCTGTCTGGTGCCCTAGAGCAGTGGTCCCCAACCATCGGGCCCTGGACCGGTACTGGTCCGTGGATCACTTTTTACCAGGCCGCCAAGAAGTGGGCGCCGCCAAGACGTGGGCGCCGCCATCTTATTTCGACGGCACTTGAGAAAGTGCTTCCGGGTGAGCTTGTCGGTCGTCGGTTGGAAAGCGGCGTTTGAGTGCTGGAGGAATCCTCGTGCCTTAGTTTCGTCAAGTGGGGGGGGGGCGGCTTTGAATGAAGAGCAGTCCTGAAGGCGGTGGAGTCTCACATTAGGAGGAGATTAAGAAAGAGCCCCAAAAGCCCATCGACAAAGGTACAAAGGAGGAGTTGAAGGTGGCAGGGAGAAGCGGGGGATGGCCGGATGGCCGGTTGCTTGGCTCGGCTTGCCTTGGTCATGCGCACTGATGCCGTGGTTCATTTTGTGATGCCAGTACTGGGCCGTGGGACAAAAAAGGTTGGGGGCCGCTGCCCTAGAGAATAAGTCAAACCGCTTCTTGTGACAGACACTCAAGTACCGAAAGACAACTATCATGTCTCTCCTAATGACCTTTTCTCATCTTTGTTGCTCTTCTCTGCACATAGTGACCAGAACGGGACAGAGTATTCCAAGTGTGTTGTCACCAGCACTGTGTAAAGCAATTCTATCTCTTGTTGTCTTGACATTATTCCTCTGTTGAGGCAACCTAGGACTGCATTGACTGTTTTTTGGCAGTACAAGGGGTACTTATTGAGTTCCCATGCACCCCAGGGACACATGGCCTACGCGTTTAGAGGTCTCCTGAAGATAGCCACCATTTCCAGTACACCCACAACTCCTCAACACGGTCTACAAAGTGTTAAGGTAGCAAAGTAGAACAGTTTCTCCCACTCCCAGTGACCCAGAAGCAGCCACCATATTGACATAAGAAGCAGGCATGGCAAAATGGCAGCTGCTTCCACAAATCCACTGCAGGGCCCAGGGATGAATCCCGGGCACAGTCAAAGTAACGGCTGTATGACAGAGATGCATGCCCTGCCCTCTTTCCCCACGAGGTTCAGAGATCTTCAAAAGTTATGGAGGTGAAGGAGGCTTTGATGCCTGGTAGGGTAGAAGTCAGGCCTCAGTATTACAGGGATCCTGTCAGCTGGCTCTCCAGCATGGGTTTTTCCTTTGACGCATGCTTGCTGTCAGCTGTCGTAGTAACGGGAAGTGGGGGATAGCATTTGGGTTTGGGAAGTGAGTTGGTGTGAAGATCCATGTGAACTAAAAGGGAGGTTTGATCTCAAGAACTACTGTGCTGCTGAGTGGAGTTGTTTACACCCAATCAAGGCCAACCATCCTTTAACTCCAGATGGATGAAAACACCTTAAGATGGGCTTCACATGACATTATGTGGAATGTGGATTGGACATTCAGCCTGGGTCCCTGGGGAGGGAGGGTTTTGGGGAAACTTTCAACTTGTAACTTTCGTGCCTTTTAAATCAGATGTTGTTTTGCTTTCACCGGTACCATTTCAAACTCAGTACAAGTACCTCTTCACTACCTCAGTGGAGTCAGAGGTTTTCTTTCTTGGGTTTTGAACGGAGGCAGGCCCGACATTAAGCAAGGTCTGCTTTATTGGCCAACCTAGTCTACCAAGGGGGCTGAGAACACAATGTCAACCCAAGGGAGCGACCAGGAAGTCTGGGCAGCCTTGGAGTCGACCTCCTCCCAGCCACACCGCTGCCGTGAGGAGACGGAGTGGCTGGAGGAGCTGCAGCTCAAGGAGAAACCAGTCCGAGCCAGATGGTTGCTGGGATTCTTCCAAGCTCAAGTTTGGAATCACATGCAGGAATATGGAGAGGACTTTGCTTCGGAGGCAGCCAAAGTGAGATGTGTCATCATGGCCCTGGAAGGGGCCGCAGCAGATTGGATGGTCACTCTTCACAACGATGATGCCCCCCCCCGCAACTATTACCACCAGTTTATGATGGCGCTCCACACGCGGTTCGAGGACCCTCTAGCTGAACACAAGGAAGGAAGACAGCTATAAATCAGTAGCAGAATACACCCAGGAGTTTGAATTGGCCTGCCGCATACATGGCTGGCCCCCAGAGGTCCTGATGGAGTGCTACAAAGATGGGCTTGACATCGATCAGAGCTGTGTCTCCTGGGGAGCCCCTCAAGACATTCAGCACTGGTATGTGTTGATGGCAGAGGTGGAAATTGATCTGGCTAGACTGGCACAGTAGGAGAAAGCCTTCCCCCTCAGGCCCAGAGAGGCCGCAGTAGGAGAAAGCCTTCCCCCTCAGGCCCAGAGAGCGGCCAAAGGCAGGCCAGCAGCCAAACAGAGGTCTACGGCATGCTTCAAGTGTGGGAAGGAGGGGCATTAAGCAGCTGATTGCCTCACCAAGCCAAGCTCCAAGCTGAAAACTGCTGGCGGCAGGAAGCCTGAAAAGCAGCCAGTCAAGGACCACAAAACAGCGCTGAAAGGGGTAGAGGTTGTTGAGTACGCCCCTCCTGGCCAGGAGGAGCTGTGAACTCTGACCACTCTGGAGGAGAGTGAGACCGACTTCGACCCCTGGTAAGTCAGCCTGTGGCCCCATGACCATCCCAGTGGAGCTGTGGGTTCCCTCATCTGGCGCCCAGGGGAAGATGGTAGACCTTGTAGACTCAGGGCGCACGAGATGCGCGATTAACCCTGAGGTGAGTAGAGAAACTGGGACTGAGACTGATAACACTGAAGGTGCCCGTAGCATTTTGCTAGCTGGATGGGTCGGTAGCTGGTGGAGGCCCAGCTCACTTTGTAACTGAAACCAGTGGAGATGTGGATGGGGGAATCACCAAACTGAGTTTCATTGTAGCCCCCAGAATGGAGCGGCCCCTCTTGCTTGGATTACCCTGGCTCCGAAAATGGAATCCTCATGTGAATTGGAGGAAGGAGCTTTTAGGAATCCATTCCACAGAGCTGGGAAGAAGTGGGGGCCAAAACCCCACCCAGAGCCAAGGTTACAAGGGAGCTAGGAGCTATGGCAAGCGAGTGCCTAGATGCTGAGAAAATCCCCAAAGAATACTGGGACTTCAGAGAGGTATTCAGCGAGAGGGGGTCAGATGTGCTGCTACCCCATCGCCCCAGACTTCAGCACTGAAATCCTCCTAGGGGGGTGAAACTACCTAAGCCAAAGATTTACTTGATGACCCTGAGAGCTGGAGGAGCTGAGAGCCATTATTAACAAAAATTTAAAGCGGGCTTCATCCAACCAGCTAGGCCATGAGTGGCTGCCGGTGTTGTTTCATGCCAAAAAGGACCCATGGGGAAATACGGTATTAAGAAGGTAGAAACTCCACAATAAATACATATCACAATAAATATATCCAGAAACTGGTTGTTCACCTTTATCAAATAACAGTTTCCACATTTTTTCTCTCCAACTACAGATCTAAACCTGAGATGCGTTGCCTAAAAAGATCAAGCCAGTATGCAGAGTCTATTTCTCATCTACACCCTGAAGTTTAGAAATGAAATTCAAACATTCTCTAAACTCACGAACTTTTGCTTCATATAAATTTTATTGTGTGCAATAGGAATTATTTTTTTGCCATAAAGTATTGTCCACAGACTGGACATTTGAGAGGTCTCTCCCTTATGAGTCCTCTAGTGTTTCACCAGGTTTGAATTGAAATGGAAACATTTCCCACAAATCAGGGCATTCAACGTGTTTCTTTCCTGTGTGAAACCTCTGGTGTATCACCATTCTGACAGAAATTTTTGCTACAAACAGGACACTAATACAGTTTCTCTCCTGTGTGAGTCCTCTGGTGTTTCATCAGGCGGCTTTTGTGACTGAAACATTTCCCACAGTCAGGACATTCAAAATCTTTCTCTCCTTTGTGTGTATCCTCTGGTGATTTGTGAGCCGCAATTTTGTAATGAAACTTTTCCCACAATCAGGACATTCAAACGGTTTCTCACCTGTGTGAGTCCTCTGGTGTAACACCATTGGGGACTTCTGACAGAAATTTTTACCACAAACGGGACACTCATATGGTTTCTCTCCTGTGTGAGTCCTCTGATGTATCACCAGGTGGCTTTTGTTACTGAACCTTTTCCCACAATCAGGACATTCAAACGGTTTCTCGCCTGTGTGAGTCCTCTGGTGTATCATGATTTGGTACTTTTGACAGAATTTTTTGCCACAAACAGGACATTCATATGGTTTCTCGCCTGTGTGAGTCTTCTGGTGTATCACCATTTGGGACTTCTGACAGAATTTTTTGCCACAAACGGGACACTCATACGGTTTCTCTCCTGTGTGAGTCCTCTGGTGTTTCACCAGGCAGCTTTTGTCACTGAACCTTTTCCCACAATCAGGACATTCAAATGGTTTCTCACCCGTGTGAGTCCTCTGGTGTATCACCATTTGGGACTTCCGAGAGAAATTTTTGCCACAAAAAGGACACGAATACGGTTTCTCACCTGTGTGACGATTTTGGTGTATCATCATTTGGGACTTCCCACAGAATTTTTTGCCACAAACAGGACATTCGTACGGTTTCTCTCCTGTGTGAGTCCTCTGGTGTATCACAAGGCGGCTTTTGTGACTGAACCTTTTCTCACAATCAGGACATTCGAATGGTTTCTCGCCTACGTGAGTCCTCTGGTGCCTCATGAACTGGAATTTTCTAACGAAGCATTCTCCACAATATGGACACTGGTATGATTTCTCTCCTGTGTGAATCCTTTGGTGTTTCATCAACTTGGAACTGTCAATGAAACTTTTTCCACAAATCGGACACTCATATGGTTTCTCTCCTGTATGAATCGTCTGGTGTGTCAACAGTTCAGAATTCTGTCTGAAACTTTTCCCACAAAGAGCACATTGAAATGGTTTCTCTCCTGTGTGTGTCCTTTGGTGACTGATGACCCCGGATTTTCTAATGAAACTTTTCCCACAATCAGGACATTCAAAGGATTTCTCTCCTGTGTGAATCTTCTGGTGAATCACTAGGCTGGAGTGGTGTCTGAAACTTTTCCCACAAAGAGCACATTCAAAGGGTTTCTCCCCTGTGTGAATCCTCCGGTGTACCAACAGGTGGGAATTGTGATTGAAACTTTTCCCACAATAGGAACATTCAAAGGGTTTCTCTCTTGTGTGAGTCCTCTGATGACTCACCAGGTTGGAATTCTGTCTGAAACTTTTCCCACAATCAGGACATTCAAATGGTTTCTCTCCTGTGTGTGTCCTTTGGTGACTGATGACCCCGGATTTTCTAATGAATTTTTTCCCACAATCAGGACATTCAAAGGATTTCTCTCCTGTGTGAATCTTCTGGTGAATTACTAGGCTGGAGTTGTGTCTGAAACTTTTCCCACAAAGAGGACATTCAAAGGGTTTCTCTCCTGTGTGAATCCTCTGGTGTACCAACAGGTGGGAATTGTGATTGAAACTTTTCCCACAATAGGAACATTCAAATGGTTTCTCTCCTGTGTGAGTCCTCTGATGGTTCACCAAGTTGGAATTCTGGCTGAAACTTTTCCCACAAAGAGGACATTCAAAGGGTTTTTCTCCTGTGTGAGTCCTCTGATGACTTACCAGGCTGGAATTCTGAGTGAAACTTTCCCCACAAACAGGACATTCAAATGGTTTCTCTCCTGTGTGAGTCCTCTGGTGTTTCGCCAGGTGAGAATTCTGAATGAAACCTTTCCCACAAACAGGACATTCAAAGAGTTTCTCTCCTGTGTGAGTCCTCTGATGGCTCACCAGGTCGGAATTCTGTCTGAAACTTTTCCCACAATCCGGACATTCAAATGGTTTCTCTCCTATGTGAGTCCTCTGGTGCTTCAACAAGCTGGAATTCTGACTGAAATGTTTTCCACAATCAGCACATTCAACAGGTTTCTCTCCTGTGTGAACCCTCTGGTGTACCACCAGGTGATACTTCTGACGGAAACTTTTCCCACATGCAGGACATTCAAAAGGTTTCTCTCCTGTATGTGTTCTCTGGTGTATCACAAGGAGGGAATTTGTAGTGAAACATTTCCTGCAATCAGGACACTCATATGATTTCTTTTTGGTGGGCATCCTCTTATGTATCACCAGAGTTGAGACCAAAACTTTTTCCACAAGCAGCGCATTCAACGGGTTTCTCCCTGGTGTGAGTTCTCTAATGTATCACCAAGTTGCCATGCCCACTGCATTGGGAGCACTTCTAGGGCTTCTCTCCTATGTGGGTCCATCCATGAACCACAAGGGAGCTGTTCTTTGTCCACATTTGTTTTACTTTTCTCCAATTTGGATCATTTCATGCATACTCAGTTGTGATTTGAAACATGCACTTTTCCCACAAGGGACACATCTGTACAGCTGCAAAAGGGGATCACAGGACCCTAGAACGCAATTTCTGGACTGATTTGCTTTCCATTTTAGCGTTGCTTGTTATTCTCAGCTGTCCGGAAGTGATCTTATTGGCATCTTCTTTGTCTATAAGATTCAAAGAAAAGAGTATTTTTTATTGTTTATAAAATGGTTGCAGAAGATGTGAAAGAAGAAAACTATGTGCATTGAAGGTAAAAAGCAAACATGCCACAATGCTAAAAGAATATCTTACATTAATAATGATTCATTTGACACAGCAAAGATTACCGAGATCCAAGTTCACATTTGCATTCAACCATGAAATTATCTTGTTGACTTTGGTCAATACAAATTCTTAATATATACTGTATCGGTGGTGATGGCGCCAATGGGCTGCAGTGATTCCCGCAGCCTGGAACAGCTGATCATCGGCATTCCAGGAGGCCAATCCAACCGCCAATTAGTTGCTCATGCTAAATCAGACTGTGCTGAAGCTGACCAGGCTGTTTGCTGTTTGCAGCAAAGTGGCAAATTGCTGGGAGGCAGGGGCAGTTTTTTCCCCCTTGTTTTCCTCCCCAAAATCTAGCTGCGTCTTTTAGTCCGGAGTGTCTTATAGTCTGAAAAATACAGTACTTCTTGGTAAGCTAGAAAAAAGCGGGATAGACAGACTCAAGACTAGATGGATTCATAACTGGCTGACAAACCGTACTCAATGAATAGTCCTTAGTGGGTCTACATCTACATGGAGGGAAGTAAGTAGTGGGGTGCCACAAGGTTCCATCTTAGGTCCAGCACTCTTCAATATCTTCATAAACGACTTAGATGAGAGAATAGAAGGGGAACTTACCAAATTTAAGGATGATAATAAGCTGGCAGGAATAGCCTACATCCAAGATGATGGGCTCAAGATCCAGGTGGATTTTGACAGACTTGAACACTGGGCCATATCTAACAAAATGCAATGCAATGTAGAGAAAAGTAAAGCTTTACACTTAGGCAAGAAAAACCAAAAGTACACATGTAGACTTGGGTGAAACCAGGCTTAATAACAGTAACTGTGACAGAGATCTTGGGAGTCTTAGTGGACAACCAGATAAATATTGAGCCAGCAATGTGCTGCAGCAGCAGCCAAAAAAGCAAATGCAATCCTAAATTGCATTAACAGAGGGATATAATCAAGATCAAGTGAGGTACTAATACCACTCTATAAAGCCTTAATAAGACTACACCTAGAGTACTGCATCCAGTTTTAATCACCACACTATAAAAAGATGTTGAGGCTCTAGAAGAAGTAAGAGAAGATCAACCAGGATGATTAGGGGGCTGGAGACTAAAACATATGAAGAACAGTTGCAGGAATTGGGCTTGGCTAGTCTAGTAAAGAGAAGGACCAGGGGAGATATGATAGCAGTCTTCCAATATTTGAGGGGCTGCCACAGAAAAGAAGGGGTCAAGCTATATTCTAAAGTGCCTGTAGGCCAGACAAGAAATAATGGATGGGAAGTGAACAAGGAGAGATTTAACCTGGAAATAAGAAGAAACTTTCTGACAGTGAGAACAATCAACCAATGGAACAGAAGTTGCCCTTGGAAGTTGGGAGAGCTTCATCACTTGAGACTTTCAAGAAGAGATTGGACTGCCCATTGTCAGAAATGGTGTAGGGTCTCCTGCTTGGGCAGGGGGTGGGTTGGACTAGATCGGGGTTGCCAACCTTTTGGACCTCAGGGACCACCAAACTAACATAATTTTAAATCCCAGAGACCACTAACTGGTTCTGTGGGTATGGTCTAATTTATGGGTGTGGCTTGGTGGTCATGTGACTGGCTGGGCATAACTTGTATGTAAATATTATAAATATTTCTATAAATATTGATTTTTTTTTAAAAAAAGCAACTTTTACTCAAAATCAGGCAAAGCAGTCAGGCAGATTGAGCTGCTCACAGAATCACAGATTCATTCAGTGATCTATCTATCTGCCATTGACTACCTGAGTCTGTTACATAAAATTTGCTTGCCATGAGTCTGCACTGAATAATAGAACTTTAAGTCCTAAGGGAGGTTCGGCTGTACTTAAGAGCACAGCCAAAGATCTAAAGACTAGCTAAAAAGCAAGAAATCCAACCATTTCCTACTTCCTAGCTACTCTAAATTTCCCGGCACAGCAGAACAGCTGATGGTTGGAAAAAGGAAAAATAGCAATTTAGCAGGCAAGTTTGCTGGGTAAGGAGTGAGTGGGTGGGGACGGTTCGCACGGGCCATGTGGGTGGTGCAGCCTTGTGTTCCTGTGCAGCCTGGATTAATTGTTTGGGTGTGTGTGTGAAATTTCTCTGCGGCCCACCCAAATTTTTTCGGGGCCCACCAGTGGGCTGCAGCCCACCGGTTGGCAACCACTGGACTAGATGACCTACAAGGTCCCTTCCAACTCTGCTTATCTGTTATCTTTGGTTTAGAGGCCCTTTCTCACAAACAAAGCTTTGGGCTCACCTCCAGGGACAAGGAGTGTTGTCTTGGGAAACCTGAAAGAAAAGGTTTGGGATGGATCCTCAAGAAGAAAAGCTGTCGATGAGCTCAATGGGAGTCAAATAGGACTGGATGGCACTTAAGAAAGTCCGGAGTCAATCTTCAAACACATTTGGGTAGAACAAGCATGTTCTTCTGCCATACAGTATGTCACTAGATGGTGCTCTACTCACGCCCAGGAATAAGGTACAGTACAGGGGTGGCAGAGATATTCTAGGGAAGAAGGAGACTCTGGGCTGGAACGGGTTGATATAATTGTATTCCTCAAGAGTTAGTTTACTGATTCATCCTGGGGCCATATTTCTAGAAAGGATGTGGAGGAGAAGTGGCGAATGACAGAGGAATTTCCTCTTCTGGGTCAGCCACAGCAGGTCAAAGGCATCGACGGAAGGGACTGGAGACTAAAACATACGAAGAATGATTACAGGAACTGGGCATGGCTAATCTAGTGAAGAGGAAGACCAGGGGAGACATGATAGCAGTCTTCCAATATTTGAGGGGCTGCCACAGAAAGGAAGGGGGCATTTTCCAAAGCACCTGAAGGCCAGACAAGGCAAATTCGCCACTGGTGCCCTGTGCTCTTCACAGATGAAAGCAGATTTACACTGAGCACATGTGACAGACGTGACAGGGTCTGGAGACACTGTGGAGAACGTTTGCTGCCTGCAACATCCTCCAGCATGACAGGTTTGGCAGTGGGTCAGTAATGGTGTGGGATGGCATTTCTTTAGGGGGCCACACAGCCCTCCATGTGCTCGCCAGAGGTAGCCTGACTGCCATTAGGCACCGAGATGAGATCCTCAGACCCCTTGTGAGACCATATGCTGGTGCCGTTGGCCCTGGGTTCCTCCTAATGCAAGACAATGCTAGAACTTGTGGCTGGAGTGTGTCAGCAGTTCCTGCAAGACAAAGGCATTGATGCTATGGACTGGCCCGCCTGTTCCCTAGACCTGAATCCAATTGAGCACATCTGAGACATCATGTCTCGCTCCATCCATCAATGCCATGTTGCACCACAGACTGTCCAGGAGGGGGGATGCTTTAGTCCAGGTGTGGGAGGAGATCCCTCAGGAGACCATCCGCCACCTCATCAGGAGCATGCCCGGGCATTGTAGGGAGGTCATACAGGTACGTGGAGGCCACACACACTACTGAGCCTCATTTTGACTTATTTTAAGGACATTACATCAAAGTTGGATCAGCCCGTCATGTTTTTTTCCACTTTAATTTTGAGTGTAACTCCAAATCCAGACCTCCATGGGTTGCTAAATTTGATTTCCATCGATAATTTTTGTGTGATTTTGTTGTCAGCACATTCAACTATGTTATGAACAAAGTATTTAATAAGAATACTTCATTCATTCAGATCTAGGATGTCTTATTTTTGTGTTCCCTTTATTTTTTTAAGCGGTGTATATGTATGCATGCATGCAAATGAAAATGGAAAAGTCGATGGCACAACTTACTGCAAAAATTGTATATATGATTTGTTTTAAATAGTGTAAAAATTTAATAAAAAACTAAAAAAAAACAATGGATGGAAACGAATCAAGGAGAGAAGCAAGCAGATATATCCTGACTGTGAGAACGATTAACCAGCTTGCCTGCAGAAGCTGTAGATGCTCCATCACTGGAGGCTTATAGGAAGAGACTGGGCAGCCAGGTGGCTGAAATGATGGTATAAGGTCTCCTGCTGGAGCAGGGGGCTGGACTAGATGACCTTAAAGATCCCTTCCAAGCGTTATTCCGTATTCTAGTTGCTTCTCTGCTTCCACGCCATGGAGGGAACCAAACAGCCTGAGCTACTCCCGGATTCTCCTCTGACCTGCCCTCAACTCACCTGGAAAAGGCTCGGGAGCCTCTCTGCACGCCACTTTCGTCTCGAGTTGCGGAGGAGGAAGTTCCTTTGTAGGAGAACTTCTCCTCTCC